GGTACTGCATCGTGTCGAACGCAGGTCATGGGCTACCACGAAAGTATGCATGCAGTCAATACGCGCCAACTCAACCCAATCTTTCTTGCCGTAACTATGCAAACAAAGATAGAAAGAACAAAGTTCAAAAGTTACGCACACGGCCATCGCATCGCGCGCAGACTGAAACAGAACTACAGTTTCCCGCAAGCGCTGCGCAGGAAGCGAGGTCGCTATCGTCTTGTTCATCGATAGTGAATACGATCCGAAGAAGTGCAGCTAATAATAATTGAAGATAACAATAATTAAAGATAATAAAGCCATAAAACAAGGTGAAGCGTTACGGCTTTCCTGTCATTCACTTTTGGCCATGGTAGAGCGGAGCTTCGTCACTTTCAGTGTATCAGTTGGCCTCTAGTGAAGCTTTGGCACGCTCATTTGCGGCGCTGTGAACTCAGCATGCCCCAAGCGTCGTCTGAAGATCGCATTTTCTTCTGTATGACACACCCCTGCATATAACCGGCACCAGGACCGCAAATCGCTGCAGGAAGAAAAAACTAGCCGCAGTATTGAGGCAAGGCTCCCTTCTTTGCATTGCTGTGAAGCCGCGCTATGAAGTCAACTAGTGCACCAAAATTTTTGTATAACCCGCACCCAGACATCAGCTAAAAATATACTGTATATTTTGATCCCGTCACATGCAAGAAGATACATTCACTCAGAAATCAGTAACACATATCGCTTCGCTTAGAATCATGAGAAAGAAAATAAATGGCAGCACATCAATGGCAAATGTTACATTCGTGGCGGTAACTACACACAATTCGTCACGCCGTCCGTTGTGTGCGTTTGACGTTACGTGTCAATACCATTGATACCACGACTCCACTCATCAATGACGTCTCAGATGACACCTTCGCGCGTATGCTCAACGAAGTGGACGAATCTCTGCAGCGTCAAAGCCACGTTGGTACTTCGATGATGGCAAACAGAACTTCTCAGATGAGTCCCCAGAAAGTGGTGCATCTGCCCAGCACATGGAGTCACGGACAAGAAGTAAACAAAAGCTCACGTGGATGAATGGATGCTATGGGCGTCCGTTTTATAATGGGGCGGTGACATGTGCGTCACCAGGCTCACAAGGGAAAAAAATGAAAACTTTCCTTTTGTGTTGGCCTAATACCTCATCTACTTTCATTTAATTGATTTTATTATAACAAAAAAAAATGTAAATTTATGTTCCACCTTTCTGCCTCTTTAGGCAGAATGAGTTCTTCACACTATTTCCCACTATTTCTGTCCTTTCTCTTTGCTTTTTTTGCCACCAATACTCTGTCTCTTACTTGCTTCTATTGTGGACGTGTTCACCTTTTCATGTTCGTCCCTGAGACCCAAAGACTCATTGTAGGCTAGTACCCACAGGTATCGCCGCATTCAATCAAAACATGTTCCATCATTTTCTTAGCTCTCCCACAGCATGTACAGTGCTCAACTCTCATGCCTATAACGACGGAGCGTCGCGCGCGGAACAGCACAGGCGACATCTACAGTCGTAAATACGCCACATCTGAGCATGCGCAGCGCTAGTGATGTGCTTGCCTTGCAATACTGATCCCTGTTCATCACTGCGGATGCAGCAATCGCTTTAGCCGTCGAAAGCGCATTGAACGATTTAGCGGAAAAACAAAAAGAAAGCAAAAAAACTAAGCCAACCGTTCTCGCTGTGATAAGGTACCATGAAGCGAGAATGAGTTTAGAGTATAAAAGGCGCCTATCCGGGCAATTGCTGGTTTCTTTTTTTTTTTCTTCGGTTCTACAAAGTTGACAGCGCTTCGACGGCCAAAGCAGTCATCGCGGCCCTGAAACTAAAGGAGGGTGGAAAATGCAAGGCAGGCACATCACTGTCGCCGCGGATGCTCAGATGTGGCGCATTTGCGACTGAAGATGTCGTTTGCGCTGTTCCACGCGCGACGCACCGTTGTTATAGACATGAGAGTGGAGCACTGTTCATTGTCCCTCCTTTTACTGAACCTCGCTTCCTGACTACACATTCTAAGGCAACCCAATCTCACTTTGAACAGTAAAGCGTTTCCCTTTGAATTACCATAAAACATCTGCCACCTTATTTTGTTCTTAATCTTTCGGTAGTTACTGAGAGGTGGCTTCTTTACCATCAGTGTCATCCAATAAATCCACTCCGCCTCTCTTAAGCAGCATTAAGCGAATTTTCGCTTAATGCTCCTTGTTGCCATATCGCCAACATTGCCACTTTTTTATTTACTGGCGAGCCTCCTAGTTCTTTTTCTTCACTTTACGTCCACGCTCTTCCTATACACTTTTCCGGCCCATCTACTATCTTTCATTTGCCTAAGCATCTCTTCAAATGTCACTTTGCTCTGAACTTCCCTTACTTCAAAGCCTGTCTATCCCCTATCCCCCTTTACAGCCTCATTCGTCGTCTTCCCGTGAGTGCCCAACACGAAGCGTCCTACAGTCCTATGATTTACATCTATTCCTGATTGCACCTCTGACCGCACACCACTGAGTTCCCAAAGGTAAGCCCTGGAACCATAACGCCTTTCCACAGACCTCGACGCACTTCGTACCTATTGCAGCCGGTGCGCGCACCTTTGAACTTTTCAATGCTTCAGCTGGGTACTCGCCTCGCCGAGCAGACGAGCGCAGTCAAACAGGCTGCCTGTGCGAAGTCCCCGCTTCCGAGGACTTCCCCGAACTAGGGTCCCTAGAATACAGCACCCGAACACGAACCCGTTGACGGTTTGCCGGAACTGTTCAAGTGTTTGCCTCCCCCTATCTTCCGATCTCTACCACCGCGATAATGCCGAGAATGCACCTTCACGTCACGGCACGGACGACTTTCTGTATCAGAGGCGTGCGAGGGCCTGTCGCGCTAACTGTTCCCTTCGTTCTCTGCATCCGCGCTGCAACGCACGTTGGTATATTTCGGAAGTTTAGGTTTCGCCATCTGGCCGACGCATTTTGATGGTTTGCTTGCGATGTGCTACAGTAATTATATATGCGGCGAAATTGAAGCTCGCTGTTGTGAATTTCGCTGAGGAAAACGGAAAGTATGCCGCCAGAAAGTACTTCAAGGGGACTTGACGACCGGCGCTAGAAAGCAGGAAAGTGCACGCTTCTAATACAAGTTCCTGCCATTGAATGATGTTCTTCAATTATGTGTGGATGCTTAGTTCTTCCAGTAATTCTGTGTCATAAGGAATAGTTTCGCTCAACATTGTCGAAAGAGCTTCAAGAAAACTATTGAAGCCCGCTAGACCTCACGTGACAAATTCTGACTCAGTAAACTACGCCCTAATTCTTTCAAAATTATTAAGTACAGTTCGTTCGTGCTCCGACTTATTTCTTCTTTTTTTATAAATGTATATACTGCACATGCTATAGTACTATTGCACAATATTTCGAATGCGCTGGCAAAATCCCCACGTAATTTGCGCATCTCCTTCTCTGGGCCCCAAAATTAGGAAAAAAAGTGTGCAAATTTTGCGAGCAAACACGGTATTCCTTCTACTTTTATGCAAACTGTGTTTCCTCAGTATATTTCTCTCAAAAGCTTTATACGGTCATCACCCATGCCCACTTCCTTTAATATGTCCCACGAAATTTCAGATTAACATTGTCATACACCCCAGTGATGTCCAGATAAGATAGGTATAAGGACCTGTTTTCTATTTTATATGCTTCTATACACCGAGTAAGAACAAGCAGGTTATCGTTTAACCACCTGTAGATTCGGAATCCAATTTGAAGTTCTCCCAAAATATCATTTTGCTCTGTCCACGTTTCTATCTTTAATTCATTGCCTGCATCGCCAACCTGAATAGTACAGATAAAACGGTTAGCGGTCTATATGAGCCTTTTCTCCCTTGCCATTATAGATTAAGTTCATTCTACATTTCTGCAAAGTGTCTGATATTTCCGTCTTCTGTAAGCACTTTTACGTAAATTTCAGCAGTGCTTCTATAGTGCTATGACCAAGTTGGTTAATGAAGCACACGGGAACCCCATCCAAGCCCAGAATAGCGCGCTTATAATAAATTTTTCCTTCCGCCTTCTTCCAATTGAAATTCTCAAGTACTACTTCTTCCTCGGTTGTACTCTTTTCCATACGTTTACTGATCGGGGAAGTCCCATGGGCGACCATATTAAATGAATTCGCTGTTACCTTTCGAATATAACAAAGTGCTTCGTAGCCTTCCAATTTATTGACTCCTTTATCTACTATATGTTGCTGCATTGTGACAGACTTCCTACCTAGTGCTTTTAGGCGGCTCCAAAATATTTTAGGCGAGGCCTTTTCTTTTCGTGAATTTCTGTCATGCAGTGTTCACTTTCACCATAAATTTCTGCCTCGACCAATTTCTGCACAATGGTTTGTTCTCTAAATATACTTTTTCATATTTGATTGACTTTATGCTGTGGTCACTTCTCCCTTATTGTCTGCCTGTGCTCCCGTGATGTCTCACGTAGCTTCTCGATCGCTTCCCGGATTTCTCTGTTCCACAAACTTTTTCGCTTTGTCTTTCCTTTCCAGCAAGTAGTTCTCTTTTTCCATCTCCCTCGTTATTGCATGTAACAGCTTACTATACTCCCAGTCTTTGCCTGGTAGTTTTCCTACTTCGTCCCCGAATCTTGCGGCTACATCTGTTATTGGTGTGTCATTTAAATGCGAGCTTCCAAATTTTGATTCTGACACGGAGTAAATGGCCCCTGGTGAACCGGTGAGACGTTATTGGGCCGGTTCATCTCAGTGAGCTGAGCCGTTCAGAGCCGCTCACTGAAATTAGCCGCTTTGCCCATCTCTAGTTGCACCCCAAGCATGTCGTGGCAGGAGAAAAACACAAAACAAGAAAAATACTAGGTAACTGACACCCCCCCCCCCCCTTTCTTAACAGCCATACAATGTCATAGGTGCTATAAGGGTTTATACGGCTGCCTTATTAACGAATAAAATCAAGCTCGAGGCATGCAAAAACACTTACCTGCGCAGTGGATCCGCAGCCCTCACAAAACACGTTCATCGAACACACGTAAACATTTACACTGAGCAAAAGGAGCAGACAACTTGACATCGGTTGCGCAAGAATTCAAGGACAGGAGAACTCGAGCTTGGATGCCCCGATCGCATTCTCCGAGCACTAAGCAGCATCCCAGACTTTCACGAGGAACACAGCATATAATTTTCTAAAACTTTAGGAAACTCTATGGAACGCAGCACCCAGACTGGGTGAAGATACGAACCGGCGCCGCAGAACACCTATACACTCCAGCGCCTCCTCTATTTTTTCTGTGCCTGTTGCGTCGCGCCAGTTCCGAATGCTCCGCGCCTGGTGGTTTGTTTCTCTGAGTGAACGCAAGGTTGCGCTAGGTTATTATCCTTTCCTTCCTCCGTGTTTTTAGATAATATATCTAGCAACGCTGGTCTGCTTGACATAAAGTTTCTCATAGGTATTGTAGAAAGCTTTATGCTGCCCGACTGGCTGCACAGCAGCTCTAGCCCCTGTACCGCTGGCTCTTCTGATGTTCACTCGTATTCGGTGATTCCAAGTTTCCCTGTTTGTTTATGATAGGGGCGTACTGAAGATGTCTCACCGTTTTAACTGCCTTTAACCTAATCCGAGCTCGAAGAAAGGTGCCGTGCACATAGGCATATCGGGCGGGGGGGGGGGGGGGTGGAACTGAGCTCTCCCACCTACATATATTTATTTATTTATTTTATTTTATTTGTGAAATACTGCAGGCCAAAAAGGCCCAAGCAGGAGGGGCACAAACACAAACACAATATCAGTACATGAGTGACACAGCTTCACTAAAATACATCTGTGTAAGAGGAGAGCGAGTAGAAGAGAAACATCAAAACAAAGAAAGCACGCGATCAGTACATGAGTAACACAGCTTGACTAAACTACATCTGTGTAGGAGAAGAGCGAGTAGAAGAGAAACATAAAAAAAAATCAAGCGATATTGGGAGGGGGGGTGAGGGGGGTCAAGATTCACAGAATTAAACATTGGGTTCATCAAGATCGAAGGTTTGGAGGAAATCAGAAGGCAAGTTATTCCATTCTGTTACAGTTCTCGGAAAAAAGGAAAACTTAAATAAATCTGTCCGCGCAAAATACGGAGTTAAAGATCGGACATGAGAAAGACGAGTTTGCCTGGTCGAAACTGGGGTAACGTAATGTGATGGGTCTAGCCCAAGTTTATTGTTAATTAGTGAGTCCAAGAATTTTAGACGGAGAAGCTGGTGCCGCGATTGTAGCGTCTGGAATTCGTTATCTCGCATTAGTTCAGCAACTGATGTACCACGACCATACTTTGAGTAAATAAAACGCACTGCTCGTCTTTGAATCTTTTCGAGGGAATATATGTTAGACTTAGTATGCGGATCCCATACAATACAAGCGTATTCAAGCTTTGGACGTAATAAAGTGTTATAAGCTAATAGTTTCACTTGCGACGGGGCGTCTCTGAGTTTGTGCCTTAAAAGACACAGTTTACGGAAAGCCGATGACGAAACATCGGCAATGTGTGCATTCCAGGACAACTTATTCGTTATCGTTATACCTAGGTATTTGTATTGACTGACTTCTTTTAAGGGTTGGCTTTTGGAGGAATAGGAAAACTGAAGGGGATTTTTCTTGTTAGAAATTCGAAGGCAAACAGATTTATCAAAATTGGGCACCATGCCCCATTTGTTACACCACGAAAGAATATTGTTAAGGGCAGTGTCGAGAGCAACCTGGTCATCTGACGAGTGTACCTCTGTGAAAATAATGCAGTCGTCTGCAAAAAGTCTTATTTTAACCGGATCAGTAATAGCATTAACAATATCATTGCAATAAATTATAAACAGCAGCGGACCTAGAACACTACCCTGCGGTACGCCGGAATCTACTGGGAGATGAGGTGATGGTATATATATATATATATATATATATAAATATCAATGAGATCTAACAGACAGTAATGCCAAGGAATGTACAGGGGAAGTTATTAAAATCAATGGAATATAAATAAGAAGAAAGAAAAGTGGATGAAAAAATTACCAACTGTGAGCGTAAAGTTTTTCAGTCTCACGATATTTTTCCCAAGCGTTACTGGATTTTGATTTTTTGGCTGACCGAAATTGTCTTTTCTTTTTGTTGCTAAGTCGTTTCAAAGTATTATTGTACCATGGCGAAGTAGGCCGTTCTGTGATGGTAACTGTGGGGATGTACATGTTTATTAATTGCTGCATTTTGTTTTTGAAGAGCTCCCAGTTCTCGTCAACAGAACGTTTGGAAAAATCCACGAGGAACCAATCGGAAAAGGAAGCTAGTTCATCATTCATTCCTTGATAATTTGCTTTGTTGTATAGGGTTATCGTCTTTTTTACTTTTTTTGGATTGGGCAAGTTGCATTGAAAAGTGGCATGAATGACGGCATGATCACTGAAGTTGCTCGGACTAGAAACGGACGAAACTTTATCTGGTTGGGTCGTGAGAAATAAACCCAGTAAGCTTGATGAATTAAAAGTCGTTCGCGTAGGAAAGCTAATCATTTGAGATAAGTTGAAAGTAAGGCCAGTATCTATGAAGTCACTTTCAGTGTTCGGTTTCGACATTGCTAATGCTAGATCAGACCAAGTTATCGCCGGGAAGTTAAAATCACCAAGGAGGAGAATAGGGGCGTTATCCGACGCTGACGTTAATAGTTGTAGAGCATCATGAAGCTCACCAACGAAAGAAGGATCGGAATCAGGGGGGCGATAGCAGATGCCTATGACAACGGGTGGAACGGCAGCTTTGCAGTGAATAAAGACTACTTCAAGACTCGAAGGAATGTCGACAGCGCAGCATTGTAAACTGTGGTGAGCGGCGATTAGCACTCCACCACCCCGCTTGTTTTTGCGATCGCAACGGAAAATATCGAAGTTGTTGAACAGAGGAAGCAATTCAGAGTCCAAGATAGATGCATTAAGCCACGTTTCGGTTAGGAGAACTAAGCTACAGTCACTTGCTTGAATTAGGCTGTGCAATTAAGGCATCGCGTTTGGGCAGTAGACTCCTAATATTAGTATAGATGAGCGAAATAAGGTTTACATTAGACTCGGTACGGACTTTAGCAGATAGCTACGGGGCACGTGGGACTACCGTTTGCGTAGTCGGATCAAGAATGTAGGTGACCTTATCGATGGTTAATTTTCGGTATGCAAGTTTATAGGGTTGGGACTGGGCTTTGCCAAACGCAATCAGCTGCTTGTGTATCAAGCGGGTGTTAGGCGAGTAATCTTGCGAAATGCTATACGTGGTATTTTTCAGCTTATTTGCGTTAGAAAGAATACGGTCTTTATCTTTGAAATGCGTGAACTTCACAATGATCGGTCTATTTTTGTTAGAATGGAAAGATCCCAGTCGATGTGCGCGGTCAATATCACGTGGGTTGAGCGTTACTTTGAGCGTATTTTTGCAGAGATTTATGATTAGTTCCTCGGACTGGGCCCAGGTTTCGCGATCCGAATCAGTGTGTCCATAAAATATGAGATTGTTTCGCCGGGCGTGATCGTTTGAATCGTCAAGACTGCAGGTTAGTTGCGATATTTGTTCAGAATTTTTGACAGTAATTGAGCGAATGACCTCAAAGTCTGCCTGAAGTGTGCCTACGGCGGTACATTCTTGTTCTATTTTAGCAAGCCGTTGATTAATATCGTCAAACGTTTCAACATTCTGGGACAGTGTAGTTTGCATGGCTTTCATTTCTTTCATAAGGTTGTCTTGGTTTAATCTAATTTCATCGAGTGCTGCCAAGATATCACCAGGAATTTCGCTGGAAGCGGAACGTGTAGTAGGACCTGGATTTTCTTCTATATCGCCGGAAAGAAGTAGCAAATTTAGAAAACAGTAGCAGTATTGACACAAGGCAGCAATACAATACCGTGGGCTCGGCAACACTATCAATGCATAGTACCGTGTTGGTTTGACGAATATGGAGTAACGGTTAGTTACCTGCACGAAAAACAGGCGTCGCAGGTAAGCGTCCGCCATCCTTGACGTGTTGCCGAGCCCACTGGTCATCATATGTGATGATACCAAACCGAATCCTACACTCAAACCTCAATAAAACGAATACAGATATAACGAAATATCAGTTGTAGGGAAGTGAATGAAAAATAGTCTTGCAGTCAATACAGTATCAGAAGAAAATTTGCCCCGTATCTGCATGTTCGGACAAAGAAGGTGGCTTTGCTGTTTTGCCTTCCCTTTTGTTTAAAGACAAAGCCACCATGGCTATAAACTCTGTTTTTAAACCCAGCCACTCTTCTATAGCAAAAGCTAAATTAAAAGCGAAAGGCTTTGCAACTCTCTCGGCCTAGATAAAGTGTCAAAATCAGTCGACAAATCAAAGTAGCTAAGTCTTGACATCTTTTTTACTGCTAAGACGCACAAGATTGACTGCCCATGCACTGCGGGTAATAGTTTCTGAAAACGGGACCTGGCAAAAACAGGTCGCCTTGTTTTTACAAGAATAGCTTAACCTTTTAACTATTGACGATCCTTTTCTGGGCGGTTATTAAGTTTTTAAGGTCTAATGACAAAAGACTGAAGGCTTTCTCGATAGACGTGAAAGGTCTATATTATTCACTTCCACATAACGCACTGCTCCAGTGCTTAGAAAAATGCATTTATTCGTTTGGATCGATAAACTTCCAGAATGCGTCAGGTATGCCAGTTCATGGTTTTCTGGAATTGCTTTCATTTTATTTAAAGTCAACGGTTGCGTCTTGGAATGAGCAACATTTAATTCAAAAAAGCGGCGTTTGCATAGGTTCCTGTTTGGCACCAGTCCTGAGTGACATCTTTCTCGCGCATAAGGATCGCCACACTCAAAAAGATCTCGACTTGTCTCTCGTTGTGAAGGTCTGTAGGTTTGCTGATGATTTCATTGTATTTATTGATTGTTTGGATACTGTTTTTGGAGTTGTTGTCCTTAGTCTTGTAGATTTGTTTGAGAAGCACTTGTAACCTCTTGAACTTACTCATGAGTTACCGTATGGAAATTCGATTAGGTTCTTAGACCTAACACTCTGTCCTAGAAGTAATCATTTACTTCTAGGACAGAGTGTTACTTCTAGGACAGAGTGAAAAGTGGTAAACCCCTTTTACCTTTCCACTCAGCTCATTCAAAATTGGTGGAAAGGGGTATCATTAAAGATTGCCTGGTAAACGCTCTCAAGAGGTCA